TGTAGTGTATAGTGTAGTGTATAGTAGTGTATAGCAGTGTAGTATATTGTAGTGTATAGTATATGTAGTGTATAGTAGTGTAGTGTATAGTAGTGTAGTGTATAGTAGTGTATAGTATATGTAGTGTATAGTAGTGTAGTGTATAGTAGTGTAGTGTATAGTAGTGTATAATAGTGTAGTGTATAGTGTAGTGTATAGTAGTGTATAGCAGTGTAGTATATTGTAGTGTATAGTATATGTAGTGTATAGTAGTGTAGTGTATAGTAGTGTAGTGTATAGTAGTGTATAGTGTAGTGTATAGTAGTGTATATTAGTGTAGTGTATAGTGTAGTGTATAGTAGTGTAGTGTATAGTGTGGTGTATAGTGTAGTGTATAGTGTAGTAGTATAGTAGTGTATAGTGTAGTGTATAGTGTAGTGTATAGTGTAGTGGTATAGTAGTGTATAGTGTAGTGTATAGTAGTGTAGTGTATAGTAGTGTAGTGTATAGTAGTGTAGTGTATAGTGTAGTGTATAGTAGTGTATAGTAGTGTAGTGTATAGTAGTGTATAGTAGTGTAGTGTATAGTAGTGTATAGTAGTGTAGTGTATAGTAGTGTAATGGTATAGTCGTGTATAGTGTAGTGTATAGTAGTGTAGTGGTAAAGTAGTGTATAGTGTAGTGTATAGTGTAGTGTATAGTAGTGTAGTGTATAGTGGTGTAGTGTGGCATAGTGTATAGCGTAGTGTATAGTAGTGTAGTGTATAGTAGTGTAGTGTATAGTGTAGTGTATAGTAGTGTAATGGTATAGTCGTGTATAGTGTATAGTAGTGTAGTGTATAGTGTAGTGTATAGTAGTGTAGTGTATAGTAGTGTAGTGTATAGAGTAGTGTACTAGTACAGCACACCGGTGTGTTGAAGAACCAAGCCACAACATTGACAAACTGAGCACGTGACAACCCTTACTAGTTCGCCTTGTCGGGTGGTGGCGGCTTTGACGACACATTGACACATTGACCCAATCTAACCCAAAAAATCCTCCACTATGGATATCTCAGACGCGATGTGACCACCCCTACCGTCTCACCTGGCAGCTCGCCTCACTCCCCCTGCGGCTTCCGTGGGCTGGGGGAGGGTGGACAACTTCAATCGCCACCCCCAGCGTCCTCATTCAAGGCGCTCACTCACCTTCACTGGGACCGATGCCAGTAGGGGGGGGGTTCTTCACCAGGCTCTAAAGTGGGCCCCCCCATCGATGTTTCGTCGATTAGCCCACAAACAGCCCAGTGGCTGAGCATCCTCGGAGCACAAGTAGCGACGTACGTGCCCCGCACTTTCAAGGCCCCCCCCCCCGCGCTTAACGCTTTCAAGCTTTCAATTCCGTCTTCTTGGTTCTTTCGGTAAAGTCACGTAGAAGGGAAATAATAAAATAAAAAAAATAAAACATAATATTTTATTTTTATTATTTTAATATTTCCCTTCTACGTGACTTTACCGAACGAACCAAGAAGACGAATCCCTGCAGTCACGAAAGCTTTAAATCGAAATTTAATCGTTGTGTTTATTTTTTTAATTAAGTGCCACTTCATAACATATGCTACAGGCCCAGCACTCGCTTCATCAGACACTGTCCTGGAATTACCCCCCCAACCAACCACCCCCCACCACCACCCCCCCACCACCATCCCGCCTCCCACCACCACCAAACCCCCCCCCCACCACCATCACCCCCCCCACCACCACCACCCCCCCTCCCACCACCACCATCACCCCCCCCACCACCACCACCACCCCCCCTCCCACCACCACCACCACCACCCCCCCTTCCACCACCACCACCCCCCCCACCACCCCCCCACCACCACCCCCCATATATTTCATTTTAAGGCAACGCACACAGTGGGGAGCGGGGGAGGGGGGTGATGGTAGCGGGAGAATGGGGGGGTGGTGACGGGGGGGGTGAAGTGTGGGAGGTGGTGAGGGGGGGGGGGAGAGTGGAGGGGGGAGAGTGGGGGGGGTGGCGAGGAGTGGGGGGGGGCGAGGGGGGGATGGAGTGGGGGGTGGCAAGGGGAAGTGGGGGGAGGTGAGGGGAGGTGAGGGGGGTGTGGAATAGGGGGGAGTTGGGGGTGGCGAGGGGAAGTGGGGGGGGGTTGACGAGGGGGGGGGGTCCTCCAGCTGTCTCCCACGTGGAGCCAGTATGTCCCGCGTGCGTGGAGCGGTGGAGCGGGGGGGGGGGCAGTGACTCGTCACGTGTCACCCCCCCCCCCCGTCTAGGAAGCAGGTCTCAGGACTCCATGGAGGCTTTTTCCACCACTCCCCCAAAGCGTTTATTCACAATTCTGGCACCTCCCCTGACGAAGCTGGTTGCTGTTGTTGTTGTTTGTAACATTCAACGAGCGAAAATGCCACGGTAACACGAATTGTAAACGTTGTGGGTTCAACTCTCCAGCACTCACCGGTTCGTGCTGAATCGGCAACGATTTCCTTTTACCGGACACGTCCCTTAAACAATTGGCAGTGTCGGGTGGTGGCGAGCTTCACGACACATTCGTATATACGCGATCTAACCCCCAAAGGAAACCAAACCAAAACCTTGCTGACGAAACACCCGAGTGTGGATTGCCCTTAAATATCAATCTGCAAAGTGCTCGATAGCTTATAACTTAGACATTCGTCGATAGCTTATGATTCTTGAACATCCTCCAGGGCGAGACGAGGCTCTTCGTGTGAAGCAACGGTGGCTAGGAGATGTTGACTACCTCGCCTGGTGTGCAGGAGGTCGTGGGTTCCATCCCGACCCTGACGATGCCTGCTGCTGTATATTTGGAGTTTGCGTGTCTCTCTCTCATCATCATCACAGTGGCTAGGAGATGTTAACTACCTCGCCTGGTATACAGGAGGTCGTGAGTTCGATCCCGACCCTGCCGATGCCTTCTGCTGTATGTTTGGAGTCGGCGTGTCTCTCTCTCCCCGTGGTCGCGTGTATTTTCTCCTCCGGTTTTCCCTCATTTATAAATATGCGTTTAGACTATGTAGACTATGTAGATGATTTTGCTGCTACAGATTTCCAAATGATAAGCCATTTCGTGGAGCAATCATTTGTAGCCAGGACGCTTTTGAATAATGAGTTTAGTGTTGTATTTATGTGTTGGGTGATTTGTTGAAAGGTATACAATAGTGCAGTGTATAGTAGTGTATCGTGTATAGAGTATTGTATAGTGTAGTGTATAGTAGTAGTGTATAGTAGTAGTGTATAATAGTGGTGTATAGTATCGATTCAAAGCTTTCGTGACTGCAGGGATTAATATTTTTGGATCTTTCGACAAAGTCACGTCGAAGGGAAATAATAAAAATAAAACATAACACAATTATCACGATGTTCCGGCTGCTTGTGTTGTGGCCGAAACGGCGTGAGAATTTTATGGTTTTATTATTATTTTATTATTTCCCTTCTACGTGACTTTACCGAAAGATCCAATAATATGGTGTATAGTAGCGTGTAGTAGCGTACGTGTCAACCCACACGGTTTACCCCGGATTCTTGTACGGGGAAATTAAGGCATGCAGCCCTTTGCGATCGGACTTTGTCGACAGATCGTTGATATTTACAAGGGCCACGGGGTGACCAGTAAGGTCTGAGTTGGTCTGTAATGTGGTAGGGCACTGATAAGGGGCTGACAGGCGTTGGGAGGTGCACGAGTCGGCCTCAACTAACTAGATTATTTAAATGTCAGCAGGTAAGGGCCCCCAGAATGAGCTGTGTAGCTCTTTTTCTTTACTTTCCAGAAGCGACCTGGACACCACAAATGAGAGCAACTCAACGAAGCGGGCTTCATCATCGTCGTCGTCATCATCGTCATCATCATTGTTGTCATCATCATCGTCATCATCGTCATCATCATCATCATCGTCATCATCATCGTCATCATCATCATCATCGTCGTCATCATCATCGTCGTCATCGTCGTCATCATCGTCATCATCATCGTCGTCGTCATCATAGTCATCATCATTGTCGTCATCATCGTTATCATCGTCATCATCGTTATCATCGTCATCTTCGTCATCATCGTCGTCATCATCGTCATCATCATAGTCATCATCGTCGTCGTCGTCATCATCATCATCATCGTCGTCGTCATCATCGTCGTCATCATCGTCATCATCGTCGTCATCAAAATTGACAGCAGTCGCCGAAATCTTCTCAACGCCGTGGTGACGGTGATTCTGAATGTGGAGGGGGATAAACCCGGAGCACTCTGGAGGGAAATCCACACGCCAACTCCAAATACTCAGCAGGCGTCTGGGTGAGGGTTGAACCCACGTGCCTCCTACTATAATTGCTATTATTTTTCATGCACTTAATTTTTATTTTTATTCTTCTATCGTTATTATTTTTTCTATCTACGTGACCTAAAGAAATTAGTTTTCAATCTAGATTTGAAAGTGCATCGCTTCCCAGCGGCTCTTCCTCGTGAGCTGGGGACGTGATCATCTCGCCAACACGAACTGCCCTCACAGCCACAAGAGCCGAATTCAATTCCGAGTTCGTGGCGGCTTTGTCCCGTCATCAACATCATCATCACGAGGAGTGCAAGCCGATGTTTAAGGAGTGCAAGTTGTTGTTTAACAACGAGGCGAGAGACCAGGATGGGAGTCTCATTCGCAAGAGTGATCTGGGCGGAAGGGCATCGGTCTGCTGCCAGTAGGGGTGGTGATGATGGCTGCTGTGTGGGTCTAGCCTAGGGGCACCCCCAGTGGCAGCTGTCTCTGTGCCCGTACAGGTTGTATCACCTGTACCATTTGTACCACCAGTACCACCTGTACCACCCGTACCAGCTGTACATTGCATCAGACATTTGACCTCTCGCATGCGACATCTTGGGCTTGATCCATTGACCTTGCCCCCCCCCCAAAATCTCTCCGCTCGCCCCCCCCCTCCACCAGCCCTCCGCCGAGGTCACCACCAGCCCCCCCCCACCAGCCCCCCCCACCAGCCCCCCCCCCACCAGCCCCCCCCCGCCGAGGTCACCACCAGTGGAAGAGGAACTCGTAGAGGCCGCAGGATGGGGGGGGGGCTGGGGGTCCGCGGAAGAGCCCGGCGAGCCCCGCCCCCCGGTCGCCCCCCCCCTCGCCCGGTGGGGGCAGCCGCTCCTCCCAGGTGACGCGGTAGCCCAGCGCCTCCACGTCCACCTGGGGGGTAGACGGGGGGGGGGGGGTAGTGCGGGGGGGGGGAGACACACGTGTGGACAAACACACCATGGAGGAGACGCGTGGGGGGTGACACGTGGGGGGATACGTGGGGGGTCACGTGGGCAGACACGTGGAGAGAGGCATGGGGAAACACGTGGGGAAACACGTGGGGAAACACGTGGGGGGACACGTGGGGGGACACATGGGGAGACACGTGGGGGTCACGTGGGGGTCACGTGGGGAGACATATGGGGGTCACGTGGGGAGACACGTGGGGGGACACGTGGGGGGACACGTGGGGGGTCACGTGGGGGTCACGTGGGGGGTCACGTGGGGGACACGTGGGGAGACACGTGGGGAGACTCGTGGAGGGACACGTGGGGGGACACGTGGGGGGACACGTGGGGAGAGGTATGGGGGGACACGTGGGGGGGGAGACACGTGGGGGGGAGACACGTGGGGGGGGAGACATGCAGGGGGACACTTGGTGACACGCGGGGCCACGTGGAGACCCAAATGGACACGTGGAGACACGTGCGAAGATACGTGGACACACACGCGGAGGAGACATTGAGAAGACGCGTGGATGATTCACATAGACAAAGATCCCCCGTATAGCCTTAATAGACTGTAGGGGCAAGTGCTGTTAGCGAGCACCTATGAAGGCCGGAACGGTACACGAGGGGGTGGGTGGCCAGCACCACGCCCGACCGCCTTTGTCTCCCTAGTGGCGATGTTTACACACCGCACCAGGTACTCATTTGAGGCTGAGTCGACCTAGGGGAGGCCCGGGACCGGTTCAGATAATCATCACTGGTGTTGGCCGTGAGCGGGAATCGAACCCGTGTCGCCGGGTTCATAGCGCAGCGTAGCGCTAACCACGACACTATCGCTCCCACACAAAGACACACACAGACACGGGCGCGCGTGGGGGAGAAGTCTCACACCTTGACACAATCCAGGAGATCCCGAACCCCAGGCTCTACGCTCCAGGGTCCGAAGTTGACGAGGTACTGCTCCCCGTGGATGGAGCACGCGTGCGCACGCCTGGCACTCCCCTCGTGGTGGTTGTGGTGGTTGTGGTGGTGGACCTCGTGTTCGGAGCTCTTGTTGACGTGGACGAGAACTCGGGAGAGCCGAGATGCCAGGGCCTCAGCCCGAGCCACGCGGATCATGATCTGTGGATCACGGCGATGATAAGAATGATTGTGCTGACGACGATCATCATGGTGATGATGATCATAGTGAAGATCAGAATGATTATGATAATCATGACGATTGTCGTGGTGATGACGATTGTCGTGGTGATGATCATGACGATGACCATAGTGATGATCATGATGATAATGATCATGATGATGCTCATAGTGATGATCGTGGTGATGATCGTGGTGATGATCGTGGTGATGATCGTGGTGATGATCGCAGAGGTGACCGTTTTGGTGATCATGGTGATGATCGTGGTGATGATCACGATGATGATCATGATCATCATGGCGATGAACATGGTGATAATAATCGTGGTGATGATCGTGGTGGTGATCATGATGAGCATGGTGTTGAACATGGTGATGATGATCATGATGACAATGCTTTGATTGTTCATTCTGATGATGCTGATGCAATGTGGTGTATCGCAGAGTTTTGGAACCAACTAAGAGCCTCTCACTTCCCCCTTTATCCCTCCATCCTCCTCTTTCTCATCCTCATCATCTTCCCACCTCATCCTCCTCATTCCACCATCCTGACTGCCTCTCACCATGTCATCCTCCTGCCATGCTCACCCCTTCTCAACATCTCTCCCTCTCACCACCTCTTCCTCTTCCAACCAACCTCACCTCATCTCACCAGCTCTCCCTCCACTCCCCACTTACTCCCCTCCCCACCATTCTGATCTCCTGCTTTTCCTCACCATCCTCACCTCCTTCCACCACCTCCTCTTCTCCTCACCACCTCCTCCTCCTCCTCTCACCTACCATCCTCACCTCTCCTCTCTTCACCAACTCATTACCACCTCTCTCCACCACCCTCCATCCTCCTCCCCGTCCTCCTCTGCCTCACCACCTGTCCCCTCCCCACCACCACCACCACCACAACCACCACCACCTCCTCTCCCCACCACCACCACCACCACCTCCTCCACCTCATCTCCCCACCACCACCACCACAACCACCTCCACCTCCTCTCCCCACCACCACCACCACCACCACCTCCTCACCTCGATGTTCTCACGGTAGCCGGGCACCTGCGCGCAGAACTGCCTCCGCGCCACCATCTCGCCGAAGAGGGGCGGGGCCTCCTCCAGCGCCCTGGCCATGGCCTCCAGGCCCCAGAACCTCGCCTCCGCGTGGACCTCCAGGGCCGCACGGAGCCCGGGGGCCGGGGCCAACGGCACGGCGCCCTCCCGCAGGAAGGTCAGCACCTGCCCAAAGTGGGTCCCGTCGCGGTCCAGGAACACGCGGCCATCCTCGTCCAGCCGCAGGGGCGGGGGGTGGCCCCCCCAACCCGCGCCCCCCCCGGACTCCCCCGGCGAGGGGGAGGGGGAGCGGAGGGGCGACGCGGCGGGGGGCGGCTCGCTGAAGAGGTCGCAGAGGCGGGAGCCGGGGCAGCGTCGCAGGGTGCTGAGCGCCGTGGTAAAGTGGAGGCCGCCCACGTTGAGACGCACCACCGGGGGCAGCTGGGAGGGCGACAGCTGTGGGGGTACGGGGCGTGCGGGCGTCAGAGCGCGTGAACATATTAGTGTGTCGTGAAACCCGTCACCACCCGGCACAGCCTATTAGTGAGGTTTGTCACGTGAACGAAACGTGCCAATTAGTTACTGGTACAGCACTCGTGTGTAGTGTAGTGTATAGTGTAGTGTAGTGTATAGTTGTGTATAGTGTAGTGTATAGTGTAGTGGTATAGTAGTGTATAGTGTAGTGTATAGTGTAGTGTATAGTTGTGTATAGTGTAGTGTATAGTGTAGTGTATAGTCGTGTATAGTGTAGTGTATAGTGTAGTGTATAGTCGTGTATAGTGTAATGTATAGTGTAGTATACTATTACAGCAATAGTGTATAGTAGTGTATAGTGTAGTGTATAGTGTAGTGTATAGTGTAGTATACTAGTACAGCACTAGTGTATAGTGTAGTGTATAGTAGTGTATAGTGTAGTGTATAGTGTAGTGTATAGTGTATAATAGTGTATAGTGTAGTGTGTAGTGTATAGTGTAGTGTATAGTGTACAACAGTGTATAGTGTAGTGTGTAGTGTATAGTGTCGTGTATAGTGTCGTGTATAGTGTCGTGTATAATGTGTATAGTGTGTAGTGTATAGTAGTATAGAGTGTAGTGTATAGTGTAGTGTATAGCGTAGTGTATAATCGTGTATAGTGTAGTGTATAGTGTAGTGTAGTGTATAGTGTATAACAGTGCATAGTGTATAACAGTGTATAGTGTAGTGTGTAGTGTATAGTGTCGTGTATAGTGTAGTGTATATTGTAGTGTATAATGTGTATAGTGTGTAGTGTATAGTAGTATAGAGTGTAGTGTATAGTGTAGTGTATAGCGTAGTGTATAATCGTGTATAGTATAGTGTATAGTGTAGTGTAGTGTATAATGTGTATAGTGTGTAGTGTATAGTAGTATAGAGTTTAGTGTATAGTGTAGTGTATAGTGTAGTGTATAGTGTATTGTGTAGTGTATTGTGTAGTGTATTGTGTATAGTGTAGTGTATAGTGTAGTGTGTAGTGTATAGTGTAGTGTATAGTGTAGTGTATAGTAGTATAGTAGTGTAGTGTATAGTGTAGTGTATAGTGTAGTGTATAGTGTAGTGTATAGTGTAGTGTATTGTACAGCACACCGGTGTGTTGGAGAGTAAAGCCATAACATTTACAATATTAGAATGACGTTTTGCCAGTAACTACAACCAGCTTCATGCATATTAATGACTATGGTATCCATTGCCATTTGAGTTATTCATATGATTAAAATCAACGTACGTTATGCAGCCCATTGTTCGTAGTGTATAGTATATAGTAGTGTGTAGTGTAATTTATAGTAGTGTATATTAGTGTAGTGTATAGTGTAGTATATAGTAGTGTAGTGTATAGTGTATAGTAGTGTAGTGTATAGTGTAGTGTATAGTAGTGTAGTGTATAGTAGTGTAGTGTATAGTAGTGTAGTGTATAGTAGTGTAGCGTATAGTAGTGTATAGTGTATAGTAGTGTATAGTGTAGTGTATAGTGTATAGTAGTGTAGTGTATAGTAGTGTAGTGTATAGTAGTGTAGTGTATAGTAGTGTATAGTGTAGTGTATAGTAGTATAGTAGTGTAGTGTATAGTGTAGTGTATAGTGTAGTGTATAGTGTAGTGTATAGTGTAGTGTATTGTACAGCACACCGGTGTGTTGGAGAGTAAAGCCATAACATTTACAATATTAGAATGACGTTTTGCCAGTAACTACAACCAGCTTCATGCATATTAATGACTATGGTATCCATTGCCATTTGAGTTATTCATATGATTAAAATCAACGTACGTTATGCAGCCCATTGTTCGTAGTGTATAGTATATAGTAGTGTGTAGTGTAATTTATAGTAGTGTATATTAGTGTAGTGTATAGTGTAGTATATAGTAGTGTAGTGTATAGTGTATAGTAGGTAGTGTAGTGTAGTGTAGTAGTGTAGTGTATAGTAGTGTAGTGTATAGTAGTGTAGTGTATAGTAGTGTAGCGTATAGTAGTGTATAGTGTATAGTAGTGTATAGTGTAGTGTATAGTGTATAGTAGTGTAGTGTATAGTAGTGTAGTGTATAGTAGTGTAGTGTATAGTAGTGTATAGTGTAGTGTATAGTGCAGTGTATAGTGTATATTAGCTTAGTGTTTAGCAGTGTAGTGTATATTAGTGTAGTGTATAGTAGTGTAGTGTTTAGTAGTGTAGTGTATATTAGTGTAGTGTATATTAGTGTAGTGTATAGTAGTGTAGTGTATAGTAGTGTAGTGTATAGTGTAGTATATAATAGTGTAGTGTATAGTGTATATTAGTGTAGTGTATATTAGTTTAGTGTATAGTGTAGTGTATATTAGTGTAGTGTATAGTGTAGTGTATAGTAGTGTAGTGTATAGTGTAGTGTATAGTAGTGTAGTGTTTAGTAGTGTAGCGTATAGTAGTGTAGTGTATAGTAGTGTATAGTGTAGTGTATAGTAGTGGTGTATAGTAGTGTAGTGTATAGTAGTGTAGTGTATAGTGTAGTGCATAGTAGTGTAGTGTATAGTAGTGTATAATAGTGTAGTGTATAGTAGTGTAGTGTATAGTGTAGTGTATAGTAGTGTAGTGTATAGTAGTGTAGTGTATAGTAGTGTAGTGTATAGTAGTGTATAGTGTAGTGTGTAGTGTAGTGTATAGTGTAGTGTATAGTAGTGTAGTGTATAGTAGTGTATTAGTGTAGTGTATAGTAGTGTAGTGTATAGTGTAGTGTATAGTGTAGGGTATAGCAGTGTAGTGTATAGTGTAGTATATAGTAGTGTAGTGTATAGTGTAGTGTATAGTAGTGTAGTGAATAGTGTAGTGTATAGTATTGTAGTGTATATTAGTGTAGTGTATAGTAGTGTATAGTGTATAGTAGTGTAGTGTATAGTAGTGTATTGTATAGTAGTGCAGTGTATATTAGTGTAGTGTATAGTAGTGTAGTGTATAGTGTAGTGTATAGCAGTGTAGTGTATAGTAGTGTAGTGTATAGTGTAGTGTATAGTGTAGTGTATAGTAGTGTAGTGCCTCCATAGAGCCCGTGTTCACTTACCGACCATTCCCCTGTTAACGACGGGCTGTTATAACTCCAGTGAATATTAATTAATTCATCGATCAACCGTGTTTCTTTTAATATTACATGGTTCATAACGTCGTTGATATCTTCACGTATTCATATCCATTGTTTAAATATGATGTAGTACGTTTGTTTTTAAATCCTTTATATTAAGTTCGCTTGCTTGCTTAGGACCGTGCAAATCTTTCGGTCGTTTTTTAACCCACTTCCCGTGATCCAATCGAGCTGACATTTTCCACACAGACTCGTTGTGCGTGACAATTAATGTTCGTGGAAAAAACATTCCAAAATTTTACACTTTTTAGGACAAAAATATTATATTTAATTACCAATTGCTTAATGGTGCAATGCAATCATCTGACCCATAGGTGAAAGCCATCTCAAGCCAGAGGACGAGAGGACTCTAGCCGCCACGCATATAAAGGATTTATAGTGAAAAACTTTGTTTTTACGGGATAATTTTTTTAACTTTCGTTGCTGTCGTAACGAATTAAGCTCTTTGACCTTCACCACCTATGCTCGCTTAAAGATCAAATCACTTAACGAATGGACACGTGGAACCGATCACCGCCATTAAGAGGCGGTTATCCACTGTGTTATGGGCACGTGTACTCACGTTTGCTTAACGTGCCTGCATTTGCAGATGCGTACGTACATACATCCATACAAATATACACATTTGCAAAACGCATGTGTAAATGATACATCGACTAACCCGCCTAGCCAACTTTGCACGCAAAGATCCTCCGTGCCCCCCCTGTGTAGCCGTAACGCATGTTGTTGTTGTTGCTGTTGTTGCTGTTGCTAACTAGCACCCAGACTAACTAGCACTCACACTAGCACCAACATTAGTACTGACACTGACACAGTAACAACCGTGACGTCAGCACAGTGCTTGTGCCAGGCTAGGTGCACGCAACCTTATTCAGAACCCTCGCACCGCATTAACCAGCGCCCCCTCAAACCCTACACCCCAAACCCTACACCCCCCCCTTGACCCTACACCCCCCCCCTTGACCCTATACCCCCTTAACCCCCACCCCCCTTAACCCCCCATCTTAACCCTACCCCCCTCAAACCCTACACCCCTCCCCCCCTTAACCCTACCCCCCCCCTAACCCTACCCCCCTAACCCTACCCCCCACCCATACCCCCCCCCCTTAACCCTACCCCCTTAACCTTACTCCCCTATCCCCACCTTAACCCCACCCCCCTAACCCCCCCTTAACTATATCCCCCTTACCCCCCCCCCTTAACCCCCCCCTTAATCCTACCCCCTTAACCCTACCCCCTTAACCCTACCCCCCTTAACCCCCCCCCCTTAACCCCCCCTTAACCCCCCCTTTAATCCTACCCCCTTAACCCTACCCCCCTTAACCCCCCTTAAACCCTACCCCCTTAATCCTACCCTCTTAATCCTACCCTCTTAATCCTACCCCCTTAACCCCCCCCCTTAATCCTACCCCCTTAATCCTACCCTCTTAATCCTACCCCCTTAACCCCCCCCTTAACCCTACCCCCTTAATCCTACCCCCCTTAATCCTACCCCCTTAACCCCCCCTTAACCCTACCCCCTTAATCCTACCCTCTTAATCCTACCCCCTTAACCCCCCCCTTAATCCTACCCCCTTAATCCTACCCCCCTTAATCCTACCCCCTTAACCCCCCCTTAACCCTACCCCCTTAATCCTACCCCCTTAATCCTACCCCCTTAATCCTACCCCCTTAATCCTACCCCCCTTAATCCTACCCCCTTAACCCCCCCTTAACCCTACCCCCTTAATCCTACCCCCTTAATCCTACCCCCCTTAATCCAACCCCCTTAACCCCCCCCCCCCTTAAACCCTACCCCCTTAATCCTACCCCCTTAATCCTACCCCCTTAACCCCCCCCCCTTAATCCTACCCCCTTAATCCTACCCCCCTTAATCCTACCCCCTTAACCCCCCCCTTAACCCCCCCCTTAATCCTACCCCCTTAACCCCCCCTTAACCCCCCCCCTTAATCCTACCCCCCTTAACCCCCCCTTAACCCCCCCTTAACCCCCCCCTTAATCCTACCCCCCTTAACCCCCCTTAACCCCCCCCTTAATCCTACCCCCTTAACCCTAACCCTCCTTAACCCCTCCTTAACCCCCCCTTAACCCCCCCTTAACCCCCCTTAACCCCCCCTTAACCCCCCCTTAATCCTACCCCCTTAATCCTACCCCCTTAACCCCCCCCCCCTTAATCCTACCCCCTTAATCCTACCCCCCTTAATCCTACCCCCCTTAACCCCCCCTTAACCCCCCCTTAACCCCCCCCTTAATCCTACCCCTTAATCCTACCCCCTTAACCCTACCCCCCTTAACCCCCCCTTAACCCCCCCCCTTAATCCTACCCCCCTTAACCCTACCCCCCTTAATCCTACCCCCTTAATCCTACCCCCTTAACCCCCCCCCCCATAATCCTACCCCCTTAATCCTACCCCCTTAACCCCCCCCTTAATCCTACCCCCTTAATCCTACCCCCTTAACCCCCCCCCTTAATCCTACCCCCTTAACCCCCCCCTTAACCCTACCCCCTTAACCCTACCCCCTTAACCCCCCCCTTAATCCTACCCCCTTAATCCTACCCCCTTAATCCTACCCCCTTAATCCTACCCCTTAACCCTACCCCCTTACCCTACCCCCTTAACCCTACCCCCTTAACCCTACCCCTTAACCCTACCCCCTTAACCCTACCCCCTTAACCCTACCCCCTTAACCCTACCCCCTTAATCCTACCCCCTTAATCCTACCCCCGTAATCCTACCCCCTTAACCCTACCCCCTTAACCCTACCCCCTTAACCCTACCCCCTTAACCCTACCCCCTAACCCTACCCCCTTAACCCTACCCCCTTAACCCTACCCCCTTAACCCTACCCCCTTAACCCTACCCCCTTAATCCTACCCCCTTAATCCTACCCCCTTAACCCCCCCCCTTAACCCTACCCCCTTAACCCTACCCCCTTAACCCTACCCCCTTAACCCTACCCCCTTAACCCTACCCCCTTAATCCTACCCCCTTAATCCTACCCCCTTAATCCTACCCCCTTAATCCTACCCCCTTAATCCTACCCCCTTAACCCTACCCCCTTAACCCCCCCCTTAACCCTACCCCCTTAACCCTACCCCCTTAATCCTACCCCCTTAATCCTACCCCCTTAATCCTACCCCCTTAATCCTACCCCCTTAATCCTACCCCCTTAATCCTACCCCCTTAACCCTACCCCCTTAACCCCCCCCTTAACCCTACCCCCTTAACCCTACCCCCTTAATCCTACCCCCTTAATCCTACCCCCTTAATCCTACCCCCTTAATCCTACCCCCTTAATCCTACCCCCTTAACCCTACCCCCTTAACCCTACCCCCTTAATCCTACCCCCTTAATCCTACCCCCTTAATCCTACCCCTTAACCCTACCCCCCTAACCCCTTAAACCTACCCCTTAATCCTACCCCCTTAATCCTACCCCCTTAATCCTACCCCCTTAACCCCTACCCCTTAACCCTACCCCCTTAATCCTACCCCCTTAACCCCCCCTTAATCCTACCCCCTTAACCCTACCCCCTTAACCCTACCCCCTTAACCCTACCCCCCGTAACCCCCCCTTAACCCCCCCCTTAACCCTACTCCCCCCCCCCCCCGTAGCCGCAGCAGGCGAGTGGTGTTCGCGTGTCACCGCGTCTCGTGTTGAAGCGCCAGCGGCCTCCTCCGCACGTCCGCAGCGGCGGGAGTACACAGAGCGGCACCCCCCGTGCCCGGCACACGCCGTCCAGTATTCCTCGACGTCTCGGCGGCTGCCTCGGCCGCTTGGCGCCACTGCTGCGGGCCTGGCCTGTCACGCCGTGGGCGCGGAACGTCGGACACCACGAACATTCCCGACTTACCGCAGAGCAGGCCGCGTCCGGCGAAGTCGCCATCTCTCCACGCAGGTGAGGGGCGGGGCTAGGTGGAGGTGAGGGGCGGGGCTAGGTGGAGGTGAGGGGCGGGGCTAGGTGGAGGTGAGGGGCGGGGCTAGGTGCAGGTGAGGGGCGGGGCTAGGTGGAGTTGAGGGGCGGGGCTAGGTGGAGGTGAGGGGCGGGGCTAGGTGCAGGTGAGGGGCGGGGCTAGGTGGAGGTGAGGGGCGGGGCTAGGTGCAGGAGAGGGGCGGGGCTAGGTGCAGGTGAGGGGCGGGGCTAGGTGGAGGTGAGGGGCGGGGCTAGGTGGAGGTGAGGGGCGGGGCTAGGTGGAGGTGAGGGGCGGGGCTAGGTGGAGGTGAGGGGCGGGGCTAGGTGCAGGTGAGGGGCGGGGCTAGGTGGAGGTGAGGGGCGGGGCTAGGTGGAGGTGAGGGGCGGGGCTAGGTGCAGGTGAGGGGCGGGGCTAGGTGGAGGTGAGGGGCGGGGCTAGGTGCAGGAGAGGGGCGGGGCTAGGTGGAGGTGAGGGGCGGGGCTAGGTGGAGGTGAGGGGCGGGGCTAGGTGGAGGTGAGGGGCGGGGCTAGGTGCAGGTGAGGGGCGGGGCTAGGTGGAGGTGAGGGGCGGGGCTAGGTGGAGGTGAGGGGCGGGGCTAGGTGCAGGTGAGGGGCGGGGCGAGGTGGAGGTGAGGGGCGGGGCTAGGTGCAGGAGAGGGGCGGGGCTAGGTGCAGGTGAGGGGCGGGGCTAGGTGGAGGTGAGGGCGGGGCTAGGTGCAGGTGAGGGGCGGGGCTAGGTGGAGGTGAGGGGCGGGCTAGGTGCAGGTGAGGGGCGGGCTAGGTGGAGGTGAGGGGCGGGGCTAGGTGGAGGTGAGGGGAGGGGCCACGCGCAGGTGAGGGGGGCCACGCGTAGGTGAGGGGGGGCCACGCGCAGGTGAGGGGGGGCCACGCGCAGGTGAGGGGGGCCACGCGCAGGTGAGGGGGGGCCACGCGCAGGTGAGGGGGGCCACGCGCAGGTGAGGGGGGGCTTCTGACACTTGTACAGAGCCCCGCCCACAGCCTTACACCAGCCAATCAGCACCCTGCGAATGGCCCTATACGTAAATATATATAAAAGGCGACGTTTCAAGTCGTGGCCTTTCTCCAGAGCACGTGGAGGCCGGTGGAGAGGTAAGAGTCAAAGCCATTTCACGTTAATTAAAGTCTCACGGTGACAAGATGTTGACTACCTCGCCTGGTGTACAGGAGGTCGTGGGTCCGATTCCCGACCCTGACGCCTGCTGCTGTATATTTGGAGTTTGCGTGTCTCTCTCTCATCATCATCACGGTGGCTAGGAGATGTTAACTACCTCGCCTGGTGTACAGGAGGTCGTGGGTTCGATTCCCGACCCTGACGCTTGCTGCTGTGTATTTGGAGTTTGCGTGTCTCTCTCTCTCCCCGTGGTCGCGTGGATTTTTCTCCGGTTTCTCCCCATCCACATTTAGAATGAATGTCGCCACGGCGTTCAGAGTGTTTGGCTGCTGCGATTAATGTCCACGTGATGGTGATGGTGATGATGATGGTGATGATAGTGATGATAGTGATGATGATGGTGATGATAGTGATGATAGTGATGATGATGGTGATGATAGTGATGATAGTGATGATGATGGTGATGATGATGGTGATGATAGTGATGATGATAGTGATGATGATAGTGATGATGATGATAGTGATGATGATAGTGATGATGATGATGTTGATGATAAGCCCACTTGGTTGGAGCTATCATGCGTGATATCCAGGTCGCTTCTAAAAAAGAGACACATTGGGGCCGTCCATAAATGACGTCATGCGATTTGACGATTTTTGACCCCCCCCCCCCCATTCACAAAAAGTCGGACCCCCCCTCAAATATGACGTCACAAAGCTCTGCCCCCCCCCGCAAAAAAAACATGCTTCATATCGCTCTAAACTATTGTCATTGTTGTGCGTATTTAATGTGGAGCTGCACTCTGATGTTGTAGGAGAAAACATTTATAAAAAAGTCTATTTTATTAAGTAGAACGTGTTGTCTATTTATTTAAAGTTGCGCATTTGTATGTGACATCACATTTATGAACCCCCCCCCTCGTCACACATCGTCACAAATGTCTGACCCCCCCCCCCAGGTGCGTGACGTCATTTATGGACGGCCCCATAGCAGCTCAGAGGGGCCTTACCCGGTTCAAATAAAAAAAAACAGTTTAAATAGTTTGATAAAAAAAAAACTCCATTCCACAGATGCACGAGATAAAGGAGGCCATCGCAGGTGCTCATTAATAAGGATCATTTCCCGAAACGTCGCCTGTTTATGGGCACGCTAATCGGGCGATGCACGTGCACACACGTGGAGACACGCCCCCGTACGGGATGATTGACGGCTCGCGGGGTCCGCCACGTGACAAAAAAAAACAAAGACAAAGTTCCCAGGATAGCCTTGACCAAACGTTGGGGCAAGTGCTGTTAGCGAGCACCTATGAAGGCCGGCACGGCACACGAGGGGGTGGGTGACCAGCACCACGCCAAAGCCGCCTTTGTCTCCCTAGTGGCGACGTGTTTTTTTTATGCACCGCACCCGGTACTCATTTGAGGCTGAGTCGACCTAGGGGAGGCTCAGGACCGGTTTACATAATCGTCACCGGTGTTGGCCGTGATCGGGAATCGAACTCGGGTCGCCAGGTTTGTAGCGCAGCGCAGCGCTAACCGCTACACCACCGCTCCACCCTTGACCACACAAGGCGACACACACACAACCCACAGGGTTAGGAAGGGAGTGTGGAACAGATGGAGATTAGCTCATACTCTGCTGTGCCGACTTCTCCCGGCAGTCTAGGGTACAGCTCGTCCTTTACACCACCCCCCCCCCCCCCCCCCGCTAATATTCAAATATTCTCAAAATTTCCCCCCAAATACAGGTTGTTTTAAAAAGATGGACCCAATTTCAGAGATATAGCCATTTTAAATCGGGTCCATATTTTTTTAAACACCCTGTATATTGCTATAAAATAGATTTCTGTTCATAGGATTGTGGTTATGGTTGTACTTTATTAATCTCGAATCTCTGACATTACATACAATGAAACAAGAAAAGGTAAATAAAAGTATCAACAGAGCAATGTAAATATAATACACTATTAGACATTATTGTAGAAAATATATTAAAAGTCCATCCCATGTAATAATTGTTTTTTTACCCTTCTATCTGACACCTTTTTTTACGAGGAGTCATGTTTGCATTGACCACAATGCCTGCGGTCAGAATGCAAACAAAAAACACAACTCTGATAATGTATGTATGTGTAGTATAGTAAACTACGGCGGGAGACCACTTGACGGGTAGCACACTTTATTCACACTTGGGTTGTCACAATAACACGTGTGGTATCTACAGCTCACGCTACACGTTCCACCTGACACGTGTGGTATCTACAGCTCACGCTACACGTTCCACCCGGCTACACCCACACGGGCATTCCAGCCCCGTAGCATCCGGGGGAACCTCTAGACCCACCCCAGCTTGGGTACGGATCACGACCACTGGGTCCCGCGGCCCGGTCCTCACACGGACGTCCGGCCCCCGGGTCCCAAGGTCCCGCCTCTGAGCCACACAGGGCCCCGGTCCTTACAAGGACAGCGGGACTAGGTGTCTCAGGGCCCTATCTCTTCCTCCTCCGTCTTCCGCCTTCACTGGTCACCAACTTCTCCCCGAGCACCCGCGCGCACCGCCTTATATAGCCCTCCGCTCCAAGGAGACGGAGCCTATGCGGACCGCGATGTGAGCACCCACCCTAGCCGACCAATCATCACGCGCTGCCACACGATCCCTTCTTGTGTCAGCGCACATAACCAATCACCACGCGCTGCCACACGATCCATCACTGTCAGCGCGCGTCACCAACACAGCCAATCACCATCACATAACCCATGACCCCGCGCTGACCTACGATCCCTCACCGTCAGCGCGCGTCACCAACACACAGCCAATCACCACGCGCTACCCCACGATCCCTACTACCAGCGCGTATCACCACTACATCTGCACTGTCCTTGAAATGTATTGATCCACACCCGAGACAGCTTTTCTTAGAGCCCAGTCTCACATGGTGTTGGACCAGATGACGCCAAAAGGCGCACAACTCAAAGACAATGCACCATCAGAGTATGAGAGCTCGGGGTAAGCATTTACACCATTGGAGATAAAAGGGTAAAAGGGTGAACAACCAATTATCACATCTTGCTACTGGCAAAGGAGGTTCCAATGGTCCATCCCATGTGTTAGTGAATTTTTTCAATATTTTAGGCAGGAAATAAGTTTTCAAATGTAGATATTTTTTTCTGGGGGGGGACCCCCAGTCACCCTGGAAGATTTGGTCCCCCCCAATGTTGACACCATGGCTACAGCCTTGCTCCACACACACCCACAGGGTTAGGAAGGGGAGTTCCACAGCTCATCCGGGCGTGATCCATCAACCCTGGATGAGAGTGGGGAGAGAGTTGGGAGACTAGTGATAGAGATGCAGTGGGAGATGTGAACTGGAGATGCAGTGGGATATGTGAACTGGAGATAATGTTAATGTCAGGCGGTATCCTCCGAGACCCCCACCCCAACTCCTCACCCCAACAGCCCCGCCCCCCTTCTCCCCCCCCCTTCTCACCCCCCCCCCCTTCTCACCCCCCCTTCTCCCCCCCCCATTCTCACCCCCCCTTCTCCCCCCCCTTCTCCCCCCCCTTCTCACCCCCCTTCTCCCCCCCTTCTCCCCCCCTTCTCCCCCCCTTCTCACCCCCTTCTCACCCCCCCTTCTCCCCCCCCTCTCCCCCCCTTCTCCCCCCCCTTCTCACCCCCCCTTCTCCCCCCCCCTTCTCACCCCCCTTCTCCCCCCCCTCTCCCCCCCCCTTCTCCCCCCCCCCCCTTCTCCCCCCCCCTCTCCCCCCCCCTCTCCCCCCCCCTCTCCCCCCCTTCTCCCCCCCCTTCTCACCCCCCCTTCTCCCCCCCCTCTCCCCCCTTCTCCCCCCCTTCTCCCCCCCCCC